GACAGCTGCCAAACTCCTCTTTGCTTTTTTCAGAATGGCGTTTATTTCATGACCCTTGAAACTGAAAGCTGTCAAGCCTCAAACAAAAGTGTCTTGATTTTAATTTTGGACTGTTTTCACAAACACATTTTAGAAGTGTACACAGATTTCTACTCTTCCTCTGTGTTCATTGCTTTGTTTGGCCTGAAATGCCACCTCTGGCAAAGATATTACAAAACAATTACTAGAAACTTGATGCTGAAGCAGGGGAATGGTTTTGAAAAGATACCTCATATGAGATTCTGGAGCTTCTCTTCTGAAGATGGCACATGTGAGATTCTTGAGCATCTTCCCCTCACAGGGAAGCCAACAGAAGTGCTCCACTGACTACATTGGGAGCTCCCATCACAGACGTAGTAGTGCCTCCCTCGGATGGGAGTGGGCCTGAAGAAGTAGAGATTAAAAGCTCAAAAAGGGAGGGGGAAAAAAGACTCGGATAGAGGAAAAAAAGGGTTTCAGGCAGGCTGAAAAAATCCCACACTGAGCATCACTTATTAAGTAAAACTGTGGTCCACAACACTATTAAAATGACATTTCCTGAAAAGACTAGCTACCTTGCTAAAGTTACAGATGCTTGGTGCAATGACTGGTAAAAGCATCTGCCTTAGAGGCAAAATCAGAAGGCTCTCTAAAAAGACTGCTGAAGTAAAAGCTGTAGTGCCCAGGTGTCTTCAGAGAAGTTGTCTTAAAAATGAACACTTAGCTTGCAGACAGGAATTTCAGACGGCACTGTAGAGATTATCTAATGAGGAATGTAAAGCAAGCATTACACTGCAAACCTGGAGGCCAAAACCAGGCAATGAGATAACGTCCTAGATAGGATCACATCACAGATTTGAGTAGGAGGTTGTTTCTTTGCCATTAAAGTAAGCAAGAATTAAAAGTAGATGCTTAAAAGCAAAGTTCTCCTTCTACTTCATCAGACTGTTCTGGGAGCTTCCACTGACACTGAGCACGAGGATGAGATCAGGGAGTGCTGGAGCATCTCAACACCTCCAGAAACAGGACATACTCACATGCATCCCAAGCAGGGATTAAAGAGCCTCACATTAAGTGCTGGTGAAGAGCGTGACAAACATTTGGCAAGGCAGGCACGACCCCAAGAGATGAGGCAGCCAGGGGCTAGCACATCACACCCCCTCACTGGGACAGGTACATTCCTACAAATACAGCAGTGCATACTGAACTCCTGCAAATGACAATTTCTAGCTCTCCATCCTGCAACTGAAAGCACTGCCTGAAGACATAGCAGAGACTGAAGTGTGGATGTACACTCAGAATTTGGCATCATGGTGCATTTTTCATATTCCCATCCCAGCAGGAGGGCATCTATTGAATGAGAAAAGGACCAGCAGGGAAGAAATGGGCGTCCATAAACATCTCTCCAGAATGTCGATATTCACCAGCACATCCTACTCCAATAAGCAGCCCATCAGAAGGGGCAGACAAAACCTTCTTTATTTTGCAGGGCTGTCTTGATATTTCACTACAGTCCTCAGCAACCCATCAATATTGTGACGTCTATCTCTCAGATGATCGCCACTCCAAAAAAAAAATTAATTTTAGAGTTGTTCTTACAAACCTCTTGTGATATGCAAGATGCCTCTAGGGAATGAAAATCTTTATCAAAATCACTCCAATTGCAGCATTCAGCTGTTTCCAAAATCACCAAGTAATATAATTACAACAGGAAAAAAATAAAAGAAACTTATTTAAAGCATAGAAATCCTTATTCCTATCCTTCATGCTTTAGCTTTTCTCTGATCCATTCTTGCTCCCTGAATTCCATCTCTTTCATCAATCTTTAACCCATCTTTTATATTGTGTCACACATTAAATTGCTTCCTAGTCAATCTACACCAGTCCCAACACTATTAGTATTAAAATTATTAATAAATCACCCATTCCTAGGACTTCTTCATTTACAAAGACTTACCTCCCCCGTGTGCATGAATAAATGTGTTGATGATGCATCCACTCATGCTCTGAATGTGAAAACCCTGACGGCAGCATCAGGCCCTCCAGCTGAGTGCTGCCCAAAGCTAAAGGTCATGCACATTCCTGTTCAGTCCTGGCTGATCATTTGCTCTACCTGCCTCTAAATATCTATTTATTCATGTTTCTAACAGCCCTGCAACGCTGGGCTGAGACATCCAGCTCATCAGTCAGCTGGCTGGATGTGCATGCCTGCATTTTCACCTACAAACCTGCTTGACTTCCCTCCCACCCAGCAAAGAGCACCAGCTTCATGTTTGCACCAGCCGGCACTGGGCAATTTGCTTTCTGTTTCAGGAGGAAAAAAGCCTTTCCTGCAATCAGTGCTTGCACAGGCAAGCTGAGCACCTCTGCCACATCACCCCCGACTGGGAGGAAGGACGTGCTCCCCATGGCACCCCAACCTGGGGGATGCATAGCAAACAAAGGAGGGGGGCGGAGGGCTGGATCCGGCAGGGCACAAGGACAAATTCACATATCCCAGGCTAACACATAAATTACTTCATCTCCGGGGGGCACCAAGAAACTGAAACACCAGCTCCCACTCTTGTCAGAAAAACACATCTCCACGAGGACTCGGTAGCCTCAACTTAATAAATGCCATTAAAATCTCACTGCCTGCAAAGCAGCACTCAATGTTTTCACTATCAACAATCTACACTGTCATTTATCTTGTTCTGGAATTCAATGCAAAACCAAACATACCTTCTCCTTACCACCCCAAGAAGAAAGGGAAAATGCATACTTATTCAATGACAGAAATTATTTGGAACTCACAGGTGAACACTAGCTTTACAGAAAGTTCAATCCTTTTGGAAATAAACATACCAGAGATTTCTACCCACTTTATTTTTTGCTAGCAGGTAACAAGACAGCAGTCACTTTATAGTAAACCAAGCCTAAATAAGGAAAAAGTACTCTTAAAGAGCAGGAACCAGAGCAGCCTTGACCACAACAAGGGGGTCTGATTCCTGTTCTCTCAGAGCACTTTAATCTTTAGGAAAAAAAATACAGCTTTACCATGGAGCCCTAACCTGAACTTTGTCACCTAACATTGGCATGGATCTAAAGTGACAACTGCAGACTTTCTGACAGCAACCCATTTTAACCTGTAACACCTGGTTTACTCCCATGAAAAGCTCCATGGAAGAATTCTTCCTAATGAATGCACAGTAGAAGCCTGTTCATATTGCAAACCCCTGGAAATGATGATAAATGAGCTCTACAAAGCACATGCTACTACTCAATACCAAGCAGGCAGCATTGGCTGCGCTCTTAAGAGGCAGCATTCCACAATGAAAATGGAATTTATTTCTTTTCAACTCCAGGGAAGATTTCTTTTCGGTCAGCTTCGAAAATTCTGATCCTACACTCTGGAATAATGAATGCTATAATACAGAGAGAAATTGCAGCCGGCAGACTACCTCTCTGCCTTATATCAAGAAACAGATGGCATTTTCGCCTTTTCCCTTGCATCTCAGCCTCCCTCTAAGCAGCTGGCTGCCTGGAACCAGAACTGTGAGAGTGGAAATGGCAATAACTCCTAAGGAGTGATCTAAACAGGAAAGTAAATACAATAGACATGGGCTGTTTTGGTTAAAACGATAATGAACTCCACAGTTGACAAGCAGAAACAATACACTGCTGTTGGCCAAAATACGACTTGTTTTAACTACCGCAGAGAAGAACCTCATGCCTATCAGGAAAGGGAAAGAAAGAGAGGCTCCTTTCTTACCTCGCCACCCCTCAAGCAAGACCACACATCTGCCTGTCTGTAGGGGAAAGGGTAAGGAAGAAAGCCCAACTAAATGTATTGGAGGTCAGCGTTACTTCCCTGGACAACTCCAGGTGCAAGTCTGCTGATCAAACTCAGTCCTGGAAGACAATCCCCCAAAAACCCAGGGCACATCTCGGGGGTAGTGTAGCTACATCTTCATTAGCACTAAGGTGCACCAGCTGGAGGTAGGCTCCTTAAACTGGGAAACAGGGCTGCTCTCCGGCTGATGGTTCCTCCCCGCCATCAGCCTTACAGCCGGTACCTCCAAGTTACGCGGTCAAATGATTGCAAGGGGAACACAAATAAATAATTAAGGGAGCAAATAAAACAAAAGGTTAAAAGGAAAGAGGCATTAAAAATGCAATTCCAGCTATACATACCGGCCCTTGCTCAAAACAAACGCCAGCCCTACACTGATAAGAGGCAGCAAAGGCAGCCTCACGGGCAGGAGGTGGGAGCTCCGCACATCCCTACCTACACCGAACGCTCCGCTCCCCGGCTGCACGGCAAGGCGAAGCTCGCTCCCCGCGTCTACCTGTAACCCGGGGCTGCTGGATTCACACCTCTGCCCAGCCCCTCACATCCAGCACAGGCAGCCCCCGACACATACCCCCAATTCGGCAACATGCCCCCTACTCATGCCCCCCGATATCCAAGAAAGCAATCGCTTCTCGAGGCAGCCTTCAGCGATTAAAGAGCAACGCAGATCCAAGGAGGAGCGGGTATGAAGACGGGGAAGGGGGGGAGAAGGGGGGAGATTGAGGAAACATAATGAAACTCACGAATTCCTCAGTGTAACACCAGCAAACCCCCCCGGTCCAACGTGGTGCCTTCCATAGAAAAAGACCAAGAGAGAGCACGAACAAAACCTACCCGGTCCCCTCCATCTCCTCACTCTTTGCCACCCTAGCTGCCCACAGCCAAACCAGGCTGGAGCCTACAAGGCATTTCCAAACAAGATGCACACCCCTCGTCTCCACTGTCGCCCAGCATGCAGACCCAGAGAGATGCTCCCCCGTTACCTGGAGGATCCAGCCCCCCGAAGACAAACTGCCCTTATTAGAGCATAATTCAATCCAAGCGTGCGCCCAGGGCGGCCGGCACCCTTCAGCCCAGCGCAAGCGGGCAAGGGAGCAACTGAGGGCCAGGCAAGGGCTGCCGAGCATCCATCCATCCGCTCCTTAGTTACCTTTAGTCACCTCCGGCTCCTGAGATGCGAGTCCCCATCAGATCCTCAACAACCTGCAGCAGGGAGCTGCTGCCACAATCCAGCCATTAAAACCAGAGGTGGGAGTAGGAAGCAGACCTGGCCACAGTACCAAAGCCCCCTGGCAGGAGGAAAAGGGCGCCGGACCAGAAGCACGGACGTCCCCCTCAAGCAAGGAAAATTAAAAAAAAAAAATTAAAAAAAAGAAAGAAGTAAAAGTCTTTCCTTTTTTGCCGTGTTCTTCTGCTACACAAGCTTCCTCCCGGAGGACGAGTGTGTGAGGATGGGGGAGGCGATCACTCCCTCCTCTTCCCCGCCGTCGCCGACCCCTCTGGACGAAAGCCCCGCTCCGATTTACCTCCTCCAGGTGGGCAACTTCAGAGCAAGGTGATGTCTCCGGAGCCGGCGCCACCGGCCAGGCGATTCGGATGCGGCAGAGTCATTGCCTGTGCTGCTGCTGCCGCTGCTGCCGCCGCCGCCGCTGCTGCTGCTGCTGGGGAAGAACAGCCGCTGCTGAAGAGACCACCAAAAAAAAAAAAATAAAAAAGGAGAGAAATCTTCCACCATCCCCCTTTCTCTCTCTCTCTCCCCTCCAGCACCAGCCGCTCTTCGCATCCGCTCCCCTGCCCGCGGCCCCTCGCTCCGCCGGGGCTGGGGGACACAAAGGCGCCCGCGCAGAGGGAGGCGGGTGGTCCTCAGCCCCCCGCGCTCCGCAGACACCCCGGATCCTTCCTCCTCTTCCTCCTCCCGCTGCGGAGACCGCCAGCCCCGGCGCGGCGCGGCTCGGCGCGGGCGGGCGGGCGGAGGGGGCGGCTCCGCGGGCGCGGAGGGGGCGGCTGGGCGGGCGCGCCCCGCGCGGTGCTCAGCGGGCGCGGGGGGGCCGCATGGCCGCCCCGCCGGCTCGGCACGGCTCGGCTCGGCACAGCGCACACGCTCCGCACACGGGCAGCGCGCTCCGGGCCGGCGGGACCCGCGGCATCCGCGTCCCCCGCAGGGCCGGGCCGGGAGCGGGCAACGGGGCCCGGGGAGGAGGCGGCGGCGGGCGGCGCGGCGCTGCTGCCCTGCCCGGCGGCGGCCGCACGGAGCCGGGCGGGCGGCGAGCCGAGGGGCGGGGGAGCGCCGAGGGCCCGGATCTGGGTTGCGCGGACGCGGGCTCCACCTAGCAGCCGGCCGGCACCGCACCGCACCGCACCGCCGCCCCCGCACTGTCCGCACCCGCTGCGGTGCCAGCCCCCGGCCCGCACCACCTGTCCCGCAGCCCCTCCCGAAGGATCCCACACCGCCCTGGTGGACGCTCTGCCCGTGGTTCCTCTGCCAGGTAGCCAATGGCAGCCTCCACACTGGGCACGGACCTCGCCGCACACTGGATCTCCCACGTCCCGATTGGCCGCTTGGAATTTTGTGCCCATCCGAGCGGCCAATTGCAGCGTGCCTTTGCGGCACCGATCCATCGCCTGTGCGGTTCCCTCAGCCGCGATTGGGTGCTCTGCCCGCTGCTGCCCTCCCAGAAAGCCAATGGCAGCTTGTGTTTCCAGCTCAGACCCATTCCCCGCTAGATTCCCCGGCTCATGTTTGGTGCCTCAGCCTGTTGTCCCCATCCAAGCAGCCCAAGACCCTACCTGCTGCTCAAGGATGGTCTCCCTGCTGCCCAGCACAGGGATGGGGCTCAGGACAGCCTGGCATCAGCTGGGGCGGCAAGACACACTCTGTCCTTGCCCTGGCACCCTCAGCAGGGTGGGAAACATGAATCCCCTTGTCTCCTGAGAGTCAGGAACCTGCAGGAAAGAGAAGAACCCTCCCTTTGTATTAACATTTGTAATCTTACATGCTTACGTGGGATCTCTGGAAATAATGGTCCTTGACTGAAACATGCTAAAAACTTCCCTCACAAACCAAATTGTTTGTTTCATTTTGGTTGGTGAGGGAAGGACCTAAACAAATGAAGCTCTTTTAACAACAAAACAAACAAAAAAGTAGATTTCAGAAAATCATAGTTTTCTAATTGCCTGAGTGCAACACACCACACTTTATCCCAGTTACCAGACCTAGCTGAGGAGCTGCTGCACTCCCAGCTTTGACTCTAGCCAAGAGACCTGGAAGGGCCCATATGAGGCCTCCTGGTCCAACCCAATGGAAGATCTACTCAGTTAATTATCCTGCTCAGCTTTTTCCTTAACAAGGTTTTATGTATCCTCGATGATGGAGACTTTGCAAGGCCATTCTTTTAAATGGGATAAGGGAATTAAGTAACCTTGTTTGTTAACTCAGACCATGAGTCAGGAAGATGCTCACACATGTTCCTAGCTGAATTGCTAGTTAGGCAGGCACAGAAATATGTATTTAAGGTTAAGAACTGCTATTCTGGATGCATTGATGTGCAGTGGAAAATTAGTACCAATAAACATAAGTGCTGTTTTCCCAATAATAAAATCAGGGCCCATTCACTGACACTGCAAAAATAAAGAAAGAATATCGACTGTGGTCAGGGAAGGTAAATCTACAATTTTTAATAAATCTATCTCAACCATTTCCAATAGATCTCTGCAAAGTCTTGTTAGAGAACACCTGTCCTTTTGCTACATGGCTGCAGAATATCCACATGTCCAAGTGAATTATGCTCAATCTTCTACAACAATTTGATATAAGAACAAGAAGATTTCAAAGCAATTAAAAAGCCGTTGTTCTTTGGACCTTGCATTTGACTCACCAAAATTATTATTCCCAGTGGAAAAAGTCCTTGGAGAATCTACTGCTTCATCTTTGGGAAAATCCTTTTTGTAACAGCCTTTCTTCCAGGGTCTGCACAGAGGTGAAAAACAAAAAATGAAACAAACAAGCAAAACAACCACCAAAACTCCACAGAACACTAAACAAACAAACAAACAGTCCCACCCCCCAAAAAAACCCCAAATCAAACTAGCAAAACCCCCAAATCTTTAATACTGCTCCTGCTGGGACGCTCAAAGGTATGAGATAGGAGATTCTTCAAGATACAATTACCTCTCTGATAATATTCACCATTCACCATACATGCTCTGGAAATGAAACAAAGCCCTACAAGTTGAAATTAGATTTCCTCTATATCTTTAAGCTCTGTTTTAATGCAGAGATGAGAATGAAATCAATGTTCAGCCAGTGAGTAACAAAAAGACAAAAAACCACTAAGCTAAAGCGTGGTGGTGTGGGGTTTTTTTTCCCCTCTAATAGCATTGCATATAATGAAGATGGAAAAAACCCAGTAAATTGTGGGGGGAGGCAAGGAAGAGCTTCAAAATGCCACCAGCCTGTTGCGCTGTTGGTGCTTTTTAAAATCATGTCTCAGACTTAATGCTGTGAGTCAGCCCAGAAAAACTTAGACACAGAATAGTTGCAGTAGGTTGTGCAGTTGTCTCCAGAGGCAACAGCAAGATTATTCCCCAAAGGATATTTTCCCAGTACTTTGTCCAGCAAAACTTGAAATGTGTCCAGGGATAAGGTTTCCACCAATTCCCTTGAGTGATTACTCCCCAGTCTCATATATCTCACCATTTGGAAGATTTTCCTGCTGTTCAGCCTACATTTTTGCATTTCTTAATTTCATACTATTACTTGTGGTTATGGCCCAAATTAATCAAAGTACTTCAACACATGCTTAAATTTAGCTATGTGCTGAAGCTCCACTGAAATCATGGACATTGGTGTTTTGCAGGGCTGATGGATCTGCACATGTTTTAGCACTGTGCTGAATTGGGACCATGCATCATGCAAAATAATTATCTTTCTCTTACATATTTTTAAGCCATTATCCTTCCCCTGCTTAATTATTGATTAGATAAGCTATATATTTAAGCTACTTAATCTCTCCTTGTGTATCACTCTTTCCAAGAGTCTGATCATTTTTCTTTTTCAGATCTGAATTCCCTGAAACTCTTCCGTGTTTTTTGAGGACGGGTAATGAGGTATTGCAATTTAATGACATATCCCAGGTGTGATTACATAAAGAGCAGTTATTCTGTGCAGTCTGAGGATATAACTTACCTTCACCAGCAACCCCAGAGTGCATTGATTTGTTGTGCTGCTCTATCATTTTGTAAGACTCTATAATCTACTCCTATTCTTTTCCATATCCATCACCCCAGCATTCAGATATTTTTTACTTGCATAGGCAGACAGCCTTCAGGCCTTGAAAGTCAGTGTGGTGTTTTACATTGGGAAACCTGTAACAGAACCCAATTGCAACCTTAGAGAGGTTTCCAGAACACTTTCTTAAAAAAAAAAAAAAAAACAACAACAAAAAAACAAAATCTCTTTCAAGTTGTATTGTTTGAATCTGTTCACCCAGGATTTTGAGTTCCCAATCAATTTACTTCAGGAGGATTTGTCATACATACCAAACTGGCACCGTGGTGTCTGCATCATTTGTTGCTCATTATTCCATTATCCCCCAGGTAGATGTGGGGCTTTAATGATAAAATCATATTATTTTGAGATGGTTTAAAAGTGGGTTTACTGAGTTGTAATTGACTGTGATTTTGATTATTTTCTTTTTTTCTTTCTTTTTCTGAAGATATGTCCTATTTGCTTTCTTGCTTTCTCTCATATTTCCATTAACTTCCATAAACAACTGTCACTGAGCCATTACATTCTGTAATGAATTACCTTATTGTCAACGATGCATGTCATCTGGACCAATTCATGGATAGACATTTCTGTTTTCAGCACTGTTACCAGTTGTCCTACACAAAACATACAATGTTTACTTTACTTCATGATCAAGTATTATGGTTGGTTTTCACCATTTTTTTTCAATCTGAAGTATTGTCATGACAAAACTACATGACTTTTTAAAAACAAATGCTATGGAGTGATACAAATAAACATCACTGACTTCCTCCTATAGATTCCAGCAAAACTCAGCTTATCTCTGATAAACCCACATTTCCATCATAAAATCCCAACAATTCAAGCAGATGGATGGATGGATGGATGGATGGATGGATGGATGGATGGATGGATGGATAGATAGATAGATAGATGGATGGATGGATGGGGACACTGAATTAGATCTCGACAGACTCCACATTCTGTGTTTTCTTCTCCCCCATCATCATCTCCTCTGTGGTCCTGGTTTAGGAAAGTACTGTAAGATCCCTCCCTGCAAGGGAAGCACCTCATGTTTTTGCATACATCCACACTCATTTTTAGGTATGAAATTCGGTGGGATTGATTACACTGGACTCAAGCAAAATTCCAAAATAAGGAGCAATTCAAAAGCAGAAATCAGTGACAAGGGTCATATTTAGTCTGACTTTTTTAGTCTCTTCCTCCTAATATGTACCTTAATTTTTCTAGGTGCAAGAATAACCTCAAAAAATAACAGAAGACCCCCTCCCATATTACATAGAAAATGCAACTGATAATGATTTAATTTTGAAAACATGGGCTGTCAAGAAAATGCTTTGCATTTAAGGGATTGTTTAAGCCATAGCATACTGGTCACCCATAGTAGATTTGCAGTACCATGGCACCAGCAGAAAAGCCTAAAGGAGAGAAGGTGCCATGGGATGGCTGGTCCCATCTAACTTTTAGCTAACATATTTCCTTGCAGCCTGTTCATGTCCAATGCCTTGTGCAGCAGAAGATGGGGTCTCAGTCTCTCAATATCAGTGTGCTGGTTTCAGCTGGGGTAGAGTTAATTTTGTGCACAGAGGCTATTATTGGGCTGTGTTTTGGATTTGTGCTGAACACAGCGATGATAATCTAAAGATGTTTCTGTTATTGCTGAGCAGGGCTTGCACAGAGCCAAGGCCTCTTCT